TTACCATTATCCGAAATGAATTAAGCATCAAGACATTTTCAATGTATAAGTGCGTGAAATGAGTGGACAGAAAACGCCAAACAGCTAACGTCGCGTCGTGAGGTAAAATTTCAATAAATAGCACCGTCAATATTTTTAAATTAACAAATATTCATATTTATTAAGCATAAAATTACTGCATGTTTAATCTTTACTGTTAATGGTTGACCTATTTCCTACATTTCTCAATGGAATTCCTCAAATAAATTCCTCCAAAGAATCCGATTATTTCTACTCCTTATCCACTTTACATTTAAAACACAAAAATCACATACATTTTAGCATTTAATGCACCAAATCAATCACCTTTGGAAACAAAATACAATTATTTTCAAATACAGTTTGTCTTGTTTTTAGTTATCTCTAGTTTCCTTGTCCTTCGAATTCCTCCACCTGCAATCTCCAGGACTTCGGGATTTAATCAGACGAATGTAGATTATTTGGCTTTCTTCCTTCACATACAAAGGGCAATTGAGTGACTTCATGTGAAAAAACACGCCAGTATGATCCTCCCAAAATTAGCAATTAATAATCTTTTCGTATTTTGGCCTCGGATTCCTATATTTCTAAGAAAATTGATATTCGTAATTTTTCAATTTCGTCGCAGTACGTATATAATCGCTATTTTATGCGCATTTTTAAGACTCGAAGCATTGTTGTAGGCTTAAAAAAGGCATTGGCGTCATTTGTGAACGGCAAGTTAAGGGTCTGATGGTCTGAAATTAGACGCGATCGTAGATTCGCACGCAACAGAACTGTCGTAATTTGCATCCCAGTTCCGGCAATTAACATTTTTGTGTTTTTCTTCGTTTTATGTGAAAAAGAAGATAATTATTTTTGGAAATACTTATAAATACTCTCGACCTTTAAACACAGCGTTCTGTACATTGTACAAGAGAATTTGATAAGAAACTGCAATGCGGAAATGAAACGTTTCTTAGTAATTTGACCTTATCACCACCTTATTTTAAGCTTTATTTCTAAGCCCTCTAATTACTTAATTAATGACATTCAATGTTATAAAAAGTCCAGTAGTAATATGGAGAATTTTAAGTGACTTCAGAAAACTTAATAATTTTCATATATTCATCAAATCCCCCTTCCACCTAACAATAGAGTAATAACTTCACTCTACTTAACATGTACCATATAAAATTAATCAATGTTCTTTTTACAATACTAACAAACAACTCTATACAGGAGAATGTATTAGTGGATTTTAAAGTGCTATAAATGCTAGGAGAAAATCATAAAATGTTGTAAAGAATCGAAAATGTTTTATGCAATTCAATACTTTTTTCATACATATCCAAAGAAAAATTTCTGTTTTTATATCAAGTGTATTTTATACGTATGATTTAAATGATTATTACTATAGCCATTTACATGTTATTACCTCTAACATCTTTTATTGCTAAATATTGCTATTACTGTAAGTTTTATTGGGAATATTGAAATTATAACTAAACACTGCTACTCCTGTACCCGCTTACAAAAGTCAGTAGTCGCTAACGATCATTGATGCTTATGCGACAATAAATAAACCGAAAAAAAATTCATTCTCCATCTCTAAATACTTCAGAAACAGTATTCTGTCCCATCACATGTTTTTTACAGATCATTCCATTCCGTAAAAAGTAGAATATCATTAAAATTCAAAACCGGACCGTTCAAGCTGTGTCATTTGCATTTGATGTACTCAACTCGCCTAACAAACCAACAACAAATAATTACATTCATCTGGTTCTCTTTGCAGGTGTCCGTGGGCCCTGGTCGCTACGTGTAGACAAGCCGGGTTCGCGAGTGCAAACAGGGCCCCGCTTTTTTTCCCGCTCGCGGGCAGGCGTCAAAAGCACGTGCGCTGGAGGGCGGCCAGAGGGTGTATGAAAGCGCGGTTCACTAGTGTTTGAATTTCGCTTCACGAAGATAAATGACTAAACTTTCCCTCCTGTTCCTGCCGCTGCGCCCGCGCGCGGGCGGGCGGGCAGGATGGCCCGACAGGCCGAGTTAGCGCGCGCGTCCCTGGGGCCCCGGCTCTATCGGCGTGATGAAACAGTCGTAAACGTCACGGGCCGACGACAAATAGGAGTTGCTCGCGTTTGAACAAACGCGGAAATTCTTCATTGTTCGAGATGCTGCGCAAAAATGCGTCAGCGCTGGGCTTTGGTCAGTCGTTAGGGTGCGTTTTGGAAATCATGCACCTCGTTCTACAGACAGGGGACACACGTTAAGGCGGCACGCAGACAGCGAAAACTTGAATTTGCTTTTATTCTCGCTTGTGAACCCATTAACCTCTTTTCTCGTGAAGTAAAAAGTTTAGGTAAATATTTCAGGCGTTATGTAAGTAATCAATTGTTAAAATCACACTAAAATATTCTGCTCCACAATATTATACTACTACATGAACTTGCAAAAGTATTTCTAACCAGCAATTTGTTTCCGCGGCGAGACTCAAACACAGATTTTCCGAGTTAACTCTCCGTGTGTCTTTCCTCTACTGCATGGAAACGGTCTGGCTTTCGAACCCCGACCGACGCTTCAAAAATCTAATTGTCTCAATCAAATATTTCAACCACGCACTTTTCAAAACTCAGAAACATCAACGGAAATGAGAACTCCAGCATTCTCTTAAGCGTCTCTTGTTATACACGTTTAAAGAACAAAATTGCAGCAGTTTTTAAGAAAAGATTTCCTTTGTAATTTGCTTTAATTTCAACCAGAAATTTTATAAAAACTGTTCGATTTTTCAAAAAATGTATATGTGAAAGTTTTTAAAGAGCGTATTTTTAGAACGTATCTCTCTTGAATGGTTGTATAGTTTTAAAATATTAACTTTTGGCAATTTTGGAAAATACGGAGAGTTTGCCGAAAATGGAAGTACACCATATTGTTAACCGTCAATTGATAATTACGAGGATTAAGTTTAAAGAAAACTTTTGGAGCGGTTAATAAGAAATAGTTTTTTAGAAATCGTATAAGTTTCAGGCACAAATTAGAGAAATCTAATCGTTTATAAAAAATTATAAAAAAAGCATACATGATATTTTGAAAAGCTAAATTTGTAGAACAGATTTTGTTATATTCTGTTCTCTAATCTCTATCTTCAATTTATATCTTTTAAATGTTAAAACGTTGCAATTTCTGAAAATAGAGAGTTCGTCGGAAATGACAGTAGCATCATTTTTACCATCCTTTACATACAAGAAGATTTTTTTTTTAATTGCAGCCATTTTTGAAAAAGACTGTTTTGAAAATTGTCAATATTTCATGCACATAATGCGAAAACTACTCAAATATTGCACAAAATCTACAAGATCTTATTTCAAAATCTGTCTTTAAAGAACAGATTTTGTTATGGTAAAAATCTCTATTTTCAATATTGTTATTGCAGGAAGATGCCAAAAAATTGAACTTCTGCGATTTCAAAAATATCAATGATTTCAATGAAAATAATAACTCCATTATCTTGAGCATCCTTTGCACTATCCGAGGAAACAATTTAATTAAAAAATATGAAGGCAGTTTTGTGAAAATTTTGAAAATGTTGAGAATTTATGTAAAGTATCCTCAAAAATCAAAATATCCAAAATACCTAACAAACAGACGTTTTGCCGTCAATCGATTTTTCGATATCAAAGCCCTACAAACCGTGGGTTCTGATTACATCACGTGTTAGAGAAAGTTATCCACATTTTTGTTGCCAGGGCAAGTCAATAAAAGTTTATGTTTAATTCTTAATAATATGTTCATTAATATAGATAACAACGTTTGCCGACCTGGATGGCCTAGGTGACTACAAGTGCTGCCTCCGCGCCTCGGTCTGAAAGGTCATGCGTTCAAGTCCCACGGTAGGCAAGGCTGCTTGTCCCTTGTCTTTGATGAATGTGTGTTGTCGCGCAAGACCTTGTGAGTCTGCTGACCACACACCGAGGAGCTCGAATGTGTGTCAGTGTCGCATGTGTGTCAATGTCCAAATGAGGGACATGTGGGTACCTGGCACGGAGAGCCGAAATCGACATCCATCGAAGCTGGAAAAAGCCCAGGAAGGGAAAAAATATAGATAATACTTTTAGTTTATAAACCTTGCTCTTCTGCTCATTTTCACTTTTTATAGTGTACAGTCTTATTTATAAGTTTATGCGCACTCCATACTTTCTTCTTTAAGTTGTGTTTGTTTTACTCCAAAACACAATGTTGTGAGGTTGATTATTGAAAGAGGTAACATGTACTATTACAATACGCTTATATTAACTTGTTTTAAAATCTATATTAATGGTAGGAAATACATTATTGCTTCATAATGTTCCGCTTTTGAAAATAAACTTGAAAATTATATGAATGTAAAATAACCACATCGATTTTAAAAAACATTATTTCACAACTATTGCTTTTATTTAATGGATGAGTCACCAAACACTGAAAATTAAGCAAAAACTCAATTCAATTACAATTACATTAAAATCTTATCACTATATCCCTTAATTCAGCTCCCAGAATAAGAGATAGAAGCCTACCTTTGGGAAATATTTCAACAAATACCTTCAGTATAAGGTAGTGTTACACCAACATAATTATGACACGTCATTGTAGTGATATCATTACGACTGAGAAGAACAAGGCCGTACTATGGAGAACTAGGAGAGGAGGAGGATGAGGAGGGGAGGTTGGGGAAGAACGGTAGACATGGTGGGGTAAGAGGGGAATGTTAGGTTCACGCGCGTTTCGAGAACTAGGAGTTCACGCGACAGTTATTCGTTTTGACGGTAGGTGAATTTAAGGAGTTATTATTCTTTAATTTTAGATAAAACACTGCAATGATGATTTGTAAACTGGTTAAATTCTAGCGTAGTGTTCATTACTTTACGTCTTTTGATGTTCAGAGTTTCCATTATGATTCTTTCTCGAAATTTATTTTCGGTTTTCAATATAATAGGATTATCAAAGAGTATTTAATAATTTTACATTATTATATGATTTGAGAGAGAATTTTGTAGATTTTCTTCTTCTCTGATGTTTCTTTTATGTTTGATGAATCTGGCATTTGTTAGTAATATACTGGTTCAGGCGGATGCCCTATTATAATTACCTTTCAAAGACATGGTTTATGGAATTATAAAGAAACACATGGCAGGTGTAACTGACATTAATGCAATAGTAGTATGTCACGAATGAGTACGATAGTATCATACTCTGAAAACAACACAGACGGCACAAATGACAGGGAGGTAGAAGCATCATCCACATTGGAACTTAAATATCACTGAAGAGACATCTAAGAAAAACATGACAGTGGGCTATAGTAACTTAGGAGTGCTCTGGTTGACGCTGCGCGTTGAGATACGCGTTTAGAGATGACTGCGATGACCACCGTGTTAGGGACAGCTGTTTTGTTGACCTCCAGGAGCCCGCGCGATGCGTTCTGCAAGCAGCAGAGCTCGCGTAAGGAATGCCAGCACACTAGTTCGAATTACCAATAGTCACTATACGAAATAATGTATTGCTCATTACCATATTTGGTAGCATTAATTAGCGAGCAACGTAAAATATGCTATAAAATATGCGATAGTCCCATACAAGCAGTTTCCATAATACCTCGTACAAACTTTCACTGACAAATATAATCAGACTTCGCACAACGTGTGAGAATAGTTTCGACACAGTCACTGGAGTAATTGATTGGCAATAGATGTGCAGCACACGCTTACTACATTGCGTATACAAATGAATGCTCTATACACTGACTTTAGAAGTTAGTTGTGATTAAACATAGACTGTTTTGAGCCCAATCAGTTAATTTGAAAACATTGCGCAATACATGACAGAGTGCGAAGCAGCGAGACATGGATGAGTCTCATGCGAACATCGTAGTTCGACTGAAAAGTCGTTCTGTCACGCTGCGAAAGTGGCAACGAGTTCGTGGCAAAAGTAGGCTAGACTAATCAGATTCCAAGAGGTTTGGATTAAAGATTTTTCAGGCCATGGTCATATTGTAATTTAAGTAAACTATATGATTGTGTAGCAAATTAAAAATTATCCATTACAATAATTCTCACAAGGCTAACGTAACAAGTTATCTGTATGGCGTAATTTTTCCGAGAAGGCGTCGTGCGGCGGGCAAGCGAGCGGATGTGCGCCTGTAGGCGTTACCCAGAATTCTCCAACTGGCTGCAACCTGTAAGGATTAGGCTATGTGATATGAGATGGACATTGCGTAATGAGACAATGCAGAATACAATACAATACAATACAATACAATGATAAGTGCTTGTACGACACTTAATTACTGTTTTATGGCAAGGTTCACATGTTAAATTATACGTAATGTACTTATAAATAATACATTAATTAAGCGTGTTTCAACAATGTTCATTAATTCGATTCGGACAGAGGCACTACAGTGAGGTTATAGACTACAATTCAGTACATTACATATCATTTGAGGCCCTGAGCCACCTAAGCCGGAGTGTCCCTGTGTTCACCTACGATTGGCTGACTACCATCTGTTTATCTTATATTGTTTCCTCGTTTGTTTTAATACATGGTTATTAATTAAACTTTTTTTGAAACATATGCAAAGTTATTTAAACAATTTTTCCATGGCAGAATATAATCAATACGTGTTTCTGAATATCACTTCCAATGTTTATAAATATGAGTATAAGCATGTATAAACATGTATACAAAAATGTGCAGTTATTCAAAACTGATTTTATTAAAATTGTCCACAAAATCATTTTTACGTGAACCTCGAAGACTTCCTCCTTGAAAATCAATACAACTAACATACAAAATTTCATGTACTTAAACATCTTTTCAACACATGGTGCACAAATGAAAATGAATAGGTACATTGATTTTTATTGGTAATTAAGCTACAAAGCTTCAGTAGTTGCTAAATGTAGAAATGTAGGTGGTGGTTGAAAGGTCAGGATGTCGCAGTTGTAGTGCTGTCGTGGCCGTGTGTTGATGGTCGTAATGCTATAGAGTGGTGATAGTAATGTGCAATGATAAGGATAAAGTGAAGGCGCAATGGCAGAGGAATTGAGCTGGAAGAGGAGGTAGATTTGGTGATAGGAGTGGCGGTAATAAGTGGTGGTGTTGTGGTGCGAAAGTAGTGTGAGGCAGTTTGAGCTTTCACTCATATGACGCCACAGTTCAAGAAAAATAATCGAGTCAACGAAATATTGACTTTTCAGAAGTTATACCAAAAAGTTGTTTTTTTTTACATTTGACTTATTTTATTTCTTATTGGTCCATTATTCCTAATGTGAATTATTTTATGATCTCTGACTTGTTCTTCTATATATTAGGCTTTATAATTAAATTTAAAAATGCAATACGCAGTTTTTGTAAAAAGGTTAAATATAGGTTTGCATAATTTTCATTCCGCCGTTGCTCCATGCAGCTTGGAGACTGCTGATTTCACCGCTGCCGCGGCAAGAACATTCAAATACCTGCGTTTTGCATAACTACGGATTTAATACTCTTTAACGCTGTTAATTTTCATCAAACACCAACATATTTGGTAATGATAAATTTGTCTTTTCAAAACCTATTTATTCGTGTTAAGACAAGTATAGTTTTATTACTAAAACATAGTGGTCCATTATCTTTACCTTGCGAAAAACAAATATCCTTATCCCTTTAAAAGTAAATAATTACCAGAACACATGGGCCCCTTCAAATAAACCAATCGAAAACCTACGCATCCTTCTGGATACTAGTCTCACAAGGAAACCTCATATTATTCATCGACTAAATAAAACGTATGGATCCCTATCAAATTATATTCTCTTATTAATAAAAAATCATCACTATAAGTTGAAAATTCTCGATTTCTATATAAATAACTATTAACACACTTATTAACTTCCCCACAACCCCAATCTGAGGAGGTGCCGAATTTTCCGTTTTGAAATACTTGCAAACCTTAAAGAATTAAGTGCTACGCACAATTATCAATACCCTGTGGTATATAGCCCACAGACAACTTCGTAGAGAACTGGACGTACACCCAGATAAAATATACATTTCCTTACTGTCGTCCAAATTCTTTTCTAACCTCCAAACTGCCCTTTGCACTAGCCACTTTAACCTTGGTAAAACCAGCGTTGCTCCTACAAGAATTAAATCTCGTCTCCCAAATTTTCTGTTCCTCATAACCTAGAGAAATAATTACCTCTTCTCTCACTTTATATCTTGCTTTTCCCTTACCTTCAATTTCAAAAAATAATAACCGTCATAGGGGTATCCAGTGGAGGTGTCCTCGCTCAGAAGTAAGGTACGCTAATTTGCTTGCAGTTAGTCGTACCTTCGAGCCACTGTACGTAATGCATCCAACCATTTCATAATAGCTAACACTCACCTGTAAAGTGGTAATCCCACTGATGTCGTTAATTCTTTTTTTTAATATCCAAACAATTAGACCCAGGCCCAGGAGACACCGTTAGCTAGCCGACAATGCCGGCCAATCGACCCAAAATGCCAAACACATACAAATATCCCAACATTAATTTCAGTTTCGAGAAAATCGAGTGGTATCTGGAACAGGATCCAAAATGGACACGCGCGCCACCAACTGCAGTTCGTGGGTGGCATATGTCTCCATACCGCGAACCATACTGGAGAGGCCGTCTCTACGTGGCAGCTCTCGGCATTATCACGCGGAGCAACGCGGGCAATCGCCGGCTCGGGGCGGCGGCGGCGTGGGGCGGGATGGAGCAGACGCGGGGTGGGGCGGGGAGGGAGGAAGAGGAGGAGGGGGGTGGGGGGGAGGGGTGGAGAGGGGGAATGGGCAGACCGGAGCGTCGGCGACGCGCGGCCTTTGCCTTGTCGCGCGCACTAATGCGGACGCCGCCGCCTCCGCCGCCAACGCCGCCGCCGCGCCGCGCCGCGCCATCGATTCCAGCTGGACATCCCTCGTAATCCCCTTATGCCGCATGAGTTATTACGGCGCGCCCGACGTATTGCCCCAGACGCACTTTGGGCCTGGGTCAGCGGGGCTCGAAGGGCGACCTACAGATTTCTAAACTTCCCGGAAGGAAGCGGCGTCTTCACGGAAGGGATGTTACGAATAAAAGGAAGGGACATTAGAGGAGGTTGCGGAAGCGGCTCAGAAAGAAATCTGCGAGACGTCTGTGAAATTTATGATTTTGTGAATGTAGACCGTTGGACTTTACAATCAAAAATAAATAATGGAATGCAGAATACCTCAGACCGAAATACAAGAAATCGGGAAAAACAATTATAATTCTCCTAAAAATCTTACTTTTCTCACTTATCTTTGGATTACGAAACGGCTCCTCAAGAATCCTACGATTTTATTGTGTATAACAGTTAATTATTAAAAGGTGATTCAGAATAAAAATTAAATTTGTATCTTTTATTATCATAGATCCAACAAAAATCTTGATTTTTATTTTTAATTTGATTTAAATTTGGAAATCGAATTTAAAAATCTTAAACAATTATATTATACGTTTGTGTTCTTCAAAACTATTTTTTTATGACGCATTATTCGAAGTATAAGTTTTCACAGTTTAGTGAACTTTCAAAACCCTAATTAAAAAATATATTTTTAGAAAAGAACATGCCACAGACCTTTAATATTTTCACAAAAAATTTCGTTGTGTGATCTTTCATAATTTTCCCCTTGAAATACCTATCGGATCTTTAGGCGTGCGCGCAATTTTGACTTTTAAACAGAACTTTATTTTTATGAAACAGATATGGGAACGAAAACATTCTTTCCATGACTTTCCACGATTTATTTTTTCCATGAATGAAATCGTATTTAAATACACGTTTGGTAGTTATTTCTGACAAGTTCCAAGTAATTTTTCTCTTTTTTAAAACAATCTTTACTCAAAAACTGCTTCTAAAGATTTTCTTTAAATTTTCTCCTCGTATTATCAAAAAACTGTAAAGAAAAGTGGTATTTGTTTCATTTCCGGCAAACTCTCTTAATTTTTGAAAATCACAAAACGTTGCACAAAATTAACATTTCAAAACTATATTACTGAATCTGATCTTTT